TGAATTCAACTTTTAGGGTGTGCTAATGACACACTTTATCTGTTAAATATATGATATATAAATAAGGCTATGAGCAATCACTTCCTACTTCTGCAAACAGAAAGGTCCAGAAACAGGAATAAAGGTAGTAGCAAGCACCATCTACTGTTCATACACTAAAGTTCCATATGTCACCTCCCTCTAAATATTGAGAAATAGCTGGTTTCAGAACAAGGGTAAGAACCAATAAGATGAACCTAGTGTGTTTTGTCACGTTAGAAATCTGAGAGCTATTCAGAAATGCTCAGTCATACCACCAACTCCCACGGACCAATCTAAGATGAGATTGTCTGAACACCAATGATAAATGGTTTTAAAAAGTTGAATGGCTGGAGAGATGGCTCAGGAGCTAGAGTATTTGCAGTGCCACCATGAGAGCCTGAGGTTAGATCCTCAGCACCTATGTAAAGAGTGCACGCCTGTGACCCACATGTGGGCGCAGAGACAGGCGATCCTCAGCACCTGCTGGGCAGCCAGGTGAGCCAATCAATGAGCTCCAGCTTCAGTGAGAGACAACCTCAAAAACTAAGGTGCAGAGCGATAAAGACATGCAGCAATTGACCTCTGGCCACACACACACACACATACATGCACATATCACACAGATACAACAACAGAAATGATACCTGTGAACACCTCCCTAAAGAAACCCACAAATCTACTTCCCGGCTCACAGTTGGAGGATGCTAGGGAGCTATTTCTTCAATTTGAAAATTGGTACAGAAAGGAAAAATAATGTAACATGCATCCCACTTTTCCTGGGAAAGTTACATATCAGGATTATCAAATAAAACCTTAGAGAAATGTTCTATTTCTAGCTATCAAAAAGGACAGACTTAAAAAGCATTCTGTATTCCCAAACTACAAAGGAGCAGATTTGAGAACTAGTCATCATTACATGGAACATCTACATGTTTCATGATGCTGTAGCACACACGACATTAACTATGAAGCGGTTACCTGAAATGAATAGTAAAATCTGATTTGGCTTCTAACTTCTGTGTCCCAAGAAATACAATGGGCGAGGATGCTTTGGTGCCCAGTGACCAAAATCCAGGCTGTCAGCTATTCTGTAGGCAAAGATTTGTTTCTTCAAATAATAAACTCTTATTGGAGAAAGAATGAGTCTTGGGGGGTGGACAGATAAGAAACCTCATCAGAAGTATTTTGGGAGGGGCCCTGGGAATGGAACCCAGGACTTTACCAAGGCTAAGCAAGCACTGTGTTAAGGAGTCACACCCCTATCCCTGTTTCCTCCCCCTTAATTTCTGATTTGAGTAACTTTCAAAATACAAACTTTCTCATTGCAGACTTTGAAACTATCAGAAGACATTTCAATACTGGCTGACCAGTATTTGAGGAATTATTAAAGGCCTTATAACACTTAATACAAATTTACTTTTAGAGTTATGTAATGGAATATTTACAGAGGATATTGTAAATAATAGGACACTTACGATTGACTCAAATAATCTAGTGGTGGGGCTGGAGAGATGGCTGTACTTAAGAGGACCAGCTAGCTGCTCCTGTAGAGGACTCCGCACCCCCACTGTGGCTCACAACTATCTGTAACTCTGCTGGTGTCTTTAGGTACCAGGTACACATGTGGTACACAGACATATGTAGGCAAAATATGCACACACATAAAAATAACAGCCATCTGGTGGGGAGGAAGTTGTCGATAGATAAAACTAAGCTGGCCGTGAGTTGTTTTCAAGGACAGCTGGTAGAGACTGTAGTCTTCAAGTGAGTAACTAGTATGTTACCCAAAGAAGTCAACATGAATGCAGAATCTCTCAATGGCTATGAAAATTAGCCCTTGGCAAAAACATATGTGAAGATCACAAAATACATTTGCACTGAACAGCCAGGCGGTGGTGGTGCTCGCCTTAAATCCCAGCATTTGCAAGGCGGAGGCAGGTGATCTCTGTGAGTTCAAGGTCAGTCTGGTCTACAAAGAAAGTTCCAGGGCAGCCAGGGCCCTGTTCTCAAAAACAGAAACAAACAAAAAGCAAAAACAGTGGAGTACTGAACCAACACCATGTTTGGGAGGTTGGGAACTCATGACACAGTGGTTGCTTTTGCCTCACTGGTACCATGTCTCTTGCAACTCTTCCTAACAGTCATCACAGGTTGGCTCTGCTAGAAGGATGTGTCGCTGCAAGACCTACAAGCAGCCATCAGGTGAGATGGGGCTGTGGCGGCGGCGACAGCAAGGGGTAGAATGATCAGCGAGGGCCATTCCCAGGGACGGAGGCACTGATCAGGCTACAGACTTTTCTGCTAAGCTGTCAAGCGAAGCAGCATGAAGGGGGCAAGGTGCAGGCCATCGTGCCGCACACACCTATAGTCCCAGAATGAGAGAGAAGACAGAGTGGGTTATGAGAGTTTAAGGGTCTATGAAACCAAACACAACAGACTCAAACAACCCCCCCCACCACAAACAGAAAGAAAGAAAGAAAGAAAGAAAGAAAGAAAGAAAGAAAGAAAGAAAGAAAGAAAGAAGGAAAGAAGGAAGGAAGGAAGGAAGGAAGGAAGGAAGGAAGGAAGGAAGGAAGGAAGGAAGAAAAAGAAAGCCAGGCGGTGACGACACAGAAAGAAATGCGTCGGCGAGAAAGACTAAGACGCAGAGTTTTCACCACTACCTTTGCTGTGTCACTTCCTGGCAGTAATATATGCTTTAACATTAAAATCTGATTTAAAAAAACACAAACACTTTAAAGTCATTTTTAAGGTCTATAGAAGAATAATTAGAAGGTCCTGAACTGTTGAAAGAAGACCGACATGAGAATCTATGAATCTGGACTCTCTATTAGATACCCACAGTATCCTTGTTGTTTTCCTATTTCTTTCCAGTCATGACAATCTCAGGCTTAGTGAGTGGCCCTCAAGGAGCTTTCATCGGAAGAAATTCTCCTGTAAGTACATCTGATCTGCCCGTGCCCCTCTAGTGTCCACTCATTCCCTGGGAGGTCTCCGCAGGAAGGCTAGCTAAGGACTACGTGCTGCTCAAACGCATCTGACATAATCAACATGGATATCTGTCCATGACTACTTTAAACAGCTCTGTAAGCAGGCACAGCTGCAGTGTCAGACTCAGGGTAGAGAGAGCCTAGTGCTCCTTCCCACTAATGCTAACACCACCTCTGTAAGCAGGCACAGCTGCAGTGTCAGACTCAGGGTAGAGAGAACCCAGTGCTCCTTCCCACTAATGCTAACACCCCTCCCTTTCTGCCTTGTGTGGGCAGCTCTGAACCATAAAGATGACCCCCAGGAGGTCCAGAGTGGGTCCCACTGCAGGTCACCTGCAGGTAAGTTCACATGCATAGCTGCCTCCTGGCACTGTTGCTGCAGGACAAAGACAGTGCCCTTTGCAGTCACACTTGTATGCCTCATAGAACAGGGCTTGAAGAAGTGTCCTACCAGACCCCATTTGCAATCTTCTCCCATCATCTGACACGCCTGAGGCTACAGACGGGATCAGCTTCGACTAAACACGCAGAGCAAGATGCATGCCTCACCATAACGGACACTGAGTCTTGTTCTTTCAATGGCCTCTCTACAAGATGGGCCTCTTTCTTGGGTAATTGCAGTATCAACAAATTTGTTCTTCCTTCAGTATGAAGGGGACTTACTTACATGGGTGCAACATTTCTAATATCACACAGGTTGTGAAGCTACAGGCTCTTGGTTCCTCAGATTTTACTCAGCAAGGAAGGCCTCTCCTGACTGCACACAATGAAGCCTGAAGTCTCCAGAAGACCTAGGAAGCCCGTAACCACAAATGTACACACCCTACAGAATTAGAAGACAAGGCCACCACATAGTACTTCAAATTTGTTAATTTTCAAATTACTTGAAAGTCACAAAAATAGAACTAATATTCATTTTTAATTACATCAACAGTAAAGCGAAAAGTAATTATTTTGGTTGAGCTCTGAAAATGTTCTCAATGGAAAAATTTCCAGTCTTGACATTTCTGTACGCTATAAGGGAAACATAGCAGATGTGGGGATTTTAGGCTCTAGCCATTCAAAAATCATTGGCCGTGTGTGTTTGAACTCCTCTTTCTTGTTACAGTCACTGCTATGGTTGAAGACTTGTGTTAGTATGAGTATGCATCCAAACATGGACAAGAGAACTGACACAGAATTCTACTTTAGGCAAGGCTAGGCAAAAGCATATCCTGTCCCCAACATAGATTGAGTTATTTCTCCAAAGAAAGTGGCAGTAAAAGCACAAATTCAAGAATCTCATGAGCCTATTATGCAGGAAGGGGGGGGGAAACCCAAGGGCATGGGAGTAAGTTGTCTGGGAAGGAAAAGGCACTCTTGACATCACCAAGGTCAAGACTAGAGATGGATGGTATGTAACAGCCTAAGCAATGCCTAAAACAAAGCCAACCCCACCCCCATGCACACACACACACTCACAAGCAAAGTAACCCAGAAAGTAAAACACCCTTGGAAAAATAAGTCAGCAGCTAAGCAGAGAGAATCTGGAACTGACATGTCTATAAAAACATTCCCACAGCTACACATACCACTCATATAAATCAAAGCCAACATGCCTTCATAGCCTTGGAAACTATGACCATCCAATCAATACTAGACTTCCTCCCCAGCCTCACCTACTATTAAATTATAGAAAAGCCTTTGGTGTGGAAGTCTTTGCTTGGTTATCAAGAGCATTTTCTACTGTGTAAATCTGGACAACTCCCTAAATGCTTCCAATTCCTAGCTGTAGTATAATATTCATATTTGTTTTTTTCTTTAACTTTACGGAGTTTATTATTTTGAATTCTTCTACAAATAAAGGCTAGCCTCTGTCACTCAGTCACACGGCATTCAAATTCAACTAAAGCCCTTAATCAGAGACGATTAAGAGGAACTATTAGAATAAGAAAAATCTGAAGGCAAAGTATCTAAGTATATATGCAAAAGTATCATTTTAATACTTACCTATTAGGCCCTTCTCCAGAGTGAAGGTTTTGTTTGTAAACATACACTCAAAAGCCACAATGTGGAAAATCTTGTTCACTGTGTTGTGAGTCCCAACTATTCGGATATACCTGAGGGTAAAGAGAAAGCACATGTTGGAATGAGTTCTGCCACATCCAAGTCAGGCACAGGCAGGTAAGGCACACCGCACCACACACAGAGTACATGGGACCCAGAAATTCTGAAGTCAACCTCCGTGGCTGGCTCATGGCCATGCCATTTCACAGGGAGCTAAACAAACCTCGGCTCTGACTACACTAGAAATCACACCAGGCACTATTTAGTTCAATCTGTGTATGTCAGAACAAATGTAAATCCATGAGACATTTACCCTGGAGAATAACAACCAGCTTCTACCTTCCTCATGGCTAGGCGTCTATCTGGGTTCATGTGCAAAACTACAGGCAAAATCAAATGCTTTCAGTTCCAAGAGCATCCGTCCATTGCAGACAAATGCATGAAATCAATACTGCTTCCCTGTCCAGGAGGAAACACACAAACTACTAAAATCCACTACGGACGTCTTTTATTCTAGTACTGCTCCCAAGTCCCCACTGGGAAGTCAAGCCTATATATTTACACCAGCCCACCACCCCCCCCCACCTGACAGCTGGAGAGCCTTCTCTGCAGAGAGGACCCAACCCACTCTGCAGCTTCCCTCTGAGCCCCACAGCTCTGCCATCTATCCACACATGGTGTGGAGATTCACCGGGCAGGTTTGGAGTGTTTTGGCCTGTTCACCGCATCCATTCCCTAGAGGCTTCATCTCTGACAAACAAGCATTAAACCTTGGAACAACTTGCTCCCTTAGCTCTAAAACAACCAAGAGTTCACAGGTTAATGAAGACACAACTCAGTCTTCTGAGTGTCACACAGAACCACAGGGAATGTGTTCTATGCTATCTCCCTAGACTTCAAAGGAAGAACCATGATAAATAACTAGATCAACTAAGAACATTCTTCCAAATTATGAACTATGCGCTGAGGGACGGGGGCATACGAGAGAACAGATTTCAATTAGGAAATGACGGGCTGAGCAAGGTTTTAGTAATACCCTCAACTCGGCACGTACAACAACCTCTGATTTAGATGATATAATTTTACTTCTAAGTTAATCGCTGCTCACTAATTCCATAATTTCCTAACATTTCTCATCACTCTGAATTAACTGTATAATGTAAAAGACTATTTGAAGCATTCACATTAATGAGACTGTATTTAGGGGTTTTGCATTATGGGCTATCTTCTTCTGCTTCTTCCAGGCCGAGCCTCACGGCACTCCCTGTGCACCTCATTTAGCCATCTGCTCCTTGACACAAGCCGATTACTCATCTTCATAACCCACACTAGTGGGATCTCCTGGACTAGCTACTCAGAATGCCTGGACTTACGGCAGGGAGAACCAGCCTTCCCTTGCTGAGACCAGCAACCGTTCCTACCAGAACCCCACAGGCACAAGGACGCTTTCTTGGATTTCCGCAGCCTCAATGCAGACCAAGAGGGCAGAGGTGGTTGGGTTTTCTTTTCTTTGGGGCGAAGAGTTCATTTAAATGAAATTCTTAATGGTCCGAGTAGTACAGATTGTGTTGTCTTTTACTGCGTGCTTTCTGGAAGCGAACGGGTGTACTAAACCTGGCACCTTGGTCTCAATCCAATTTTGGTCATTTCCTGTAACCACAGGAACTCAACTAGCATAGCACTTTCAACCGCACATGGCCAAGGAAGCCTGAGTGCTGCTGTCTGCAATCTTTGAGCAGGCAGTTGGATGGAATCTGATCAGATCCTATTCTCAAGGTTAAGTCACCCAAGAAGAATGAGCTCTCCTACCATGCATGGCACAAGAGCAGGACTCTTCCCTTGGCAGTGCATAAAGCAGATGCTTTCTGAGCATGGAGCCAAGCTCAAGTTTAGACAACAGTCATTTCCCAAGTTCACCCTGATGTAAATGTCAGGAGACAAAATTATTCAACCTTTTCATCCCATGCCACACAGTTATAAGCGACTAAAGACAAACAGTTGTAGTAGAATACATTTTACAACTTTAATGACAGTGTTCGTGACAATAAACAAAGTAATAGATAAGACGAGAGGAACACTGAGAAATGTCTCTGGGTCAAAACCCCACATAAATGAAGACAGTGTTATCTCCACCCATAATCCGGAGGTCAAGTGGGCCACTCATCACTGTACATTATCTCCGCCCATAATCCGGAGGTCAGGTGGGCCATTCATCACTGTACATCAGGCTTCATGCTGGCTCCCCAGCATGCTCATAACGAGCCCTGCCCCCCAGCTCCCATGCTTTCTAAGCTTGTACAATGCAGCATAACTTACAGTGATGGCTTGATGTCCTTACCCAAGGCCACACTCAAGAAATTGAACACCGAAAGACAGAAGCCAGGCCCCCTCTCCTGCACTGAAAAGACTGACTAGAAACAGCTTGTGATTTCAGCAAAGGTCTCGGCGCCACTGGCTGCTGCCAGCTTGGGCCCGGACACTAAGAATTCAGAGATGTCTTACTTGGAGACCCCTAAGCAATGACTGAGGAGGCACAAGCACCTATCACAGACTCATTTCCTCACCAGAGCTCAGAATGGAGTACCCCAAGGTAGATGAGAAGTTGAAACTGAAAACCCAAGAGAAAGGATTGGGATGGAGTCCATTTCTTTTTATTTTGTTGGCTTTTTTAAACTTTCTTTGAAAAGCAAAGCAAAATGATCTTAGCATTTAAGCAAGTGTAGACATCATTCCTCTGCCACAGGAAACCCTGGACTGCAAATAAAGCTTGAGGTTTGTTCTTTTCCCTTTAGCGATGTCTCTGCGGCGTAGTCACTGATGTCACCTGGTAACAAGGACAGGGGCAAGGAGGGTGCATCGGTGTGCAGGGAAGAGCAGTGCTGGAAACCGAAGCACTGTGCTTCCTTCTCTCAGAGGTCCTCAGCAGCAGTTCAGTTTGCAGATAATTAAAACTTAAACAGGCCTGCGGAAGGTGGAGAGGCAGCCGATCAGCCGGTTCTGAGGAAATGAATGCCTGCCACGCGTCCCAGTGAACCCGTCCATTTCTGACACTCTTAGGCCTTCCTTGTGTTCCCTGTCTTCAAGTGGCTGACAAAGCCCAGACTTTGAACACAGTTCAGAACAAGATGTTTCAGTAACCAAGTTCTTCGGAGCTATGAGACTGTGGGTGAAAGGGATTGTGTCTTCTTTAATAAGATAAAGTTAAAATGCTCAGGCCAGCCTACTAAAACTGGAAGGTACTGCCGGGTTTTAGAACAATGTGAGCTTCAGAACAGTAATGATGAGTTGTGAGAGAGAAAAACGTTTAAAATTTTTTGAACCTAGGATTCCTCCTCTATTAAGAAAGGTCAACATTACACACCCAAGTCAGGTTTTCGAAGCCAAACCCCATTACCAGGTGCAGAATAGTGCCATAGGAGTTGGTGGGTAGTCCACAGAGGCTACCAGAGCAATATGGGTATTACCATTGTTCTTGACTGCCCATCAGAACTAGTCAGCAAAACTCTATTGCTGAAGACACCACATGTTCTGGATACAAAACAGAGAAAAACAAAGTTGGAATTGAGCTCGCAGCTCTCTCTTTCTCTCTACTAGCTAGCATTCAATGTGCTGGACGCTGCTATGCAGGCCACTGGGGAAGAAAACAATCACACACAGGTATAGACCCTTCTGCGACAGTAGGAACGCTCCGGCAAGACATGCCTACTGGTACAACGGTGACATGAATGTGCTGGGTTGGCCACCCGCTTCCTGATCAGGTCTGAAGCATGTCCCAGTAGAGGCAATGTATGCCTAGCACTTGTAAAACTGCTCAAAAGTCTGGGGCTAAGGAGGTTTGGTCACAGGATCTATGGGGAAACCCATTACTTACTGTTTTGCCAAGTGGACTTGTAGTTGAACTGCCTCCCAAATGTTTACACTAACACACCAATGCAGCACTCAGCCTTGACCAGAGAAGCCTGTTCTGGCAGTGGGTGATGGTCAAAGTGATAAGTGACTACTGAATGTCTGGTCACAAATGGGGCATGCCTCTTACTCCCAGGAGTAAGAAGATGGCAAAAGCATGTGGGAGGAGCGTGGTGGGGCACTGACTTATGCGACTGCTGCAGTTGTGAAGACACAGAAGCTATGACTGCCTGTACCCCCCTGCCCCGCCCCCAAGTAAGGAGGGAATGACTAGGTAGGGAGAAGAGTCAGTGGAGGTGGGAAGAGGATGGCGGGGTGTCAACCTCAGTACATTGTATACAAGGACTGTCAAATTTTAAAAATAATTAACAATAAAATTACCCACAAAAGGCCAACAATAAAAACTCCACAGAGTATTTAAATAAGTTACATATTTTTATTATTTATTTTTAAATTTAAATTAGAAACAAGGTTGCTTCACAAGTCAGTTCCAGGTCCCTCTCCATTTCTCTCCCCTCCTCCCGTGCCCTACCTCCACGCCCCTCAATATCCCCTCATTTCCCCAGGGAGGGTGAGGCCCTCTATGGGGGTGTCCATAGTCTGTCATTTCATCCAGGGCAGGGCCTAGACTCTCCCCCATGAGTTCAAGGTGAGAGTGCATCTCACATTGTTGGATGGGAGTCCAAAGTCCATTTGTATACCTGGGATAAATACTTATCTACTACCCAAGGCTCAATAGATTACCTAGGCCTCCTCACTGAGACCCACAATCAGGGGGTCTTGATCAGTCCCATGCTGGATTCCCAGGCATCAGCCTGGGATTCAAGAGCTAACCCTTGTCAGGTCAGCTGTTTCTGGGGGTTAAACCAGCCCAGTCTTAATACCTTTGGTCATCAGTCCTCCCTCTCTGTTACTGGCTTTCTTGAGTTCAGCTCAGTGCTTAGCTGTGGGAGTCTGCCTCTGCTTCCATCAGCCACTGAATGAAGGTTCTGTTTCCCAGACTCTCTGCCATGGGATTGTAGGCTGGCACTCCCCAGATCTATGTCTAAAATCCATATATGAGAGAGTACATGCCATGTTTTTCGTTTTGTGACTGGGTTACCTCCCTCAGGATGGTTTCTTCTAGTGTCATCCATTTGCCTGCAAA